GAAGAGCCGCACTCTTTCGTTGGCTCTCGCTCCTCAGCAGTACTATGATCCTAGTTGGCGGGCTACCCTGGAGCCCATCAAGGCCTTTGCTACTGTCCTCTGGGCCCGTCTTGTTCCTCGGCATGTCTTGGAGCACGGCCTCAACGCGGCCGCTGCGGAGCTTGCGGGAAAGGCCAGCCCATGGCCGCTGGTGAGAGGGCCTTTCGGGGCCCTGTGGGCCACTCTGGATCGGGTTGGGATCGTCTTGGTTGAGCCTCTGGTTTGGAAGCTACCTGGAGGATCTGTTATTATGTTGGACGACATTTGCCCCAGGGTCCTCAGGCAGTGCTGCAGGCATGCTATTCGGTGTTGGATCAATTATCATGTCGCTGAGACCTTGGGGCGCCCTGAGTTTCGCAACGGCTTCTGGTGTGGCCCCTGAAGTACCTCCTCAGCAAGGGTTCCCTTAATTGGCAGCAGCGCGGTTACCTTCGGAGCGCCTCTATTGGAGCTCAATGGCCTCAGCAACGGCAATTTCAACAAGGCTGGACTGCCTCTCCCAATTGCCTAGCATGCAAGAGTGCCCCTGGCAGCCTCCTGCACAGGCACGTTGATTGCTCGAAGATGCTCCAGGCAATGGAAGAGGCACTCCCAGTTCCTATCAGTCTCTTGAGGCCACATGTGGATCAGAATCCGCTGGGGCTTCTACTACTTGAGCGTGGTCTCCTGCCTCTGCCCCAAGTGCCGCAGTATTTGTTGCAGACGCCAACGGACGCTGAGCTTAAGTGGGATGGTGACCCGTAGGCTCTTACTGGTGATCTGTATCTCGACGGTTCTTTCACGACTGATTATCCTGATCGTGGATTTTCCTCCTGGGCTGTTGTTGCGATCGCAGCGCACAGCAACATATGTACGTGCACCCTGACAGGTCTGCTGCCATATCCGCTGCAGGACATCGACGGTGCCGAATTGTTTGCCTTTTACGCTTCCCTACTGTTTGCTGTGCCGCCCGCAGTATTTCACACGGATTCGGATTTCGTGTGGCGTGGAGTGAACGTGCGTGGCCCTGACGCCACCGCGCATGCATCCTCAGCCTGGGCCTGATTGCGGAAAAAGGTCTGGATAAAAATTGATGACTGGGGAGGTGAGATACCTGAAGTGAGGAAGGTCAAAGCACATGTGACGGAGCACGGGGTCGACTCTGGGCGTTATTCTCTCAGAGACAAGATCGGGAATGACGCTGCCGACCTGGCGGCGAAGATGCGTGCTCGCGAGCTGCGTGTGCCACCCGAGTTTTTGAAGCTACTCAACACGCAGAAGAGGATGGTGGGACTTACTGGGAGGTGGATTGCGAGAGCAGGTGAGTCGGCCGCGTCAGCTGATTGCCTGCACCGCCAGCGCCCTAGCACCTCTGCAGCCCCCTCCTTAATCCTTGTCAAGCCAGAGCCCCCCACCCTTGAGCAAAGAATCCTTGCCGCGCAAGTCGTGTTGCGCGATTCTGGGTTGAGAGCTCATCAGGTGGGGACTTTTCTTGTTGCTTCTAAGCCTGTGTTCTGCTGCATGTCCTGTGCTTCGTTCACCACCTCTCGTGCGGTGTCATTAGCGTCAGAATGCAAGCCGCTCAGGCTCTCTAAGGACCGCAGGCAAATCCCTGATCGCCTGCGTGCTGGTGAATTCAAGCTTGACGGCGCGTGGAAGCGCGCAATGGACATTCGTTTGCTGACCCCGCCGACCCAGGCGGTCGGCGTTCCCGCTGTGCCGCGCAGCCTGTCGGCGGGGTCCTCCTCTCACGCGTCGTCGTGAGACATTGCCTGCTGCGCCCGACGCAAGGTTCGTTTCGGCGTCGGGCCCGGCTGCAGTTCGAGCCTGCGGTGGCGGAAGTGGCTTCGAAATGCGCCGCCCGCAGAGCTCCCGCCCGCAGTGGGCGGATTCCGTCCGCTTTGGATCTGCGCCCAGGAGGAGGAGGAGGAGGGGGGGAAGAGGAAGAGGAGGAAAATGAATAGGAGGAGGGACCCACACCAAAATTATTTCCGTCGGCCTAAGGATTTCTCCGTCGGCCGAAGGATTTCTCAGGATTCCCATGGATTCGTAAGGATTCCTGAGGACTCCAGAAGGAAGCCGGAAGAATTCGAAGGAATCCCAAGGACCCCAAGGAACCCTAAGGATCCTGAGGAATCCAAGGAATCCTAAGGAATCCCAAGGAATCCTGGGGAATCCTATGGAATCGAAGTACTTCTGAAGAAGAAAGAAGTTCCTTTGAAGAAAAGATACTTCTGAAGAAAAAAGAAATACTTCTGAAGATCCCATGGTTGAAATTGGTCCCACTTCTGGTTGCAATTCGCTCCGAACAGTTGGAATTGCGACAAGTCGGTTGTAATTCGTCCCATTTCGGGCTGAAGCCACCCCCCCCTCCCTCCCCTGCTTCCCCTCGACTCGTCGGGCCGGCGCTTGCGTCGGCGGCGGCTGGCGGCGGCGGCGGGGACGACGACTTCCTTTTCTGGGCCGGCGCCAGCGCCTGCGG